GTTTCTGCTAGCCTGCCCTGGGGCAACTTTGGACGCTCAACAACCCCCATTCGGGCGCTACGGTATTTACCGTCGGGGCGGCGCGGGTGTCAGCTAGCCCCCGGGAGCTGTCAATTGGTGTTGTTTGTACGCCTCTCCCGCTGTCCGTCTGTCCGTTTCTCCGTCCGTCTGTCCGTCTGTCCACTAGCCCCATTCTGACGTGTGGCTGACAGATTCGCTGTGCCCCCAGGGCACATAAATAGCGTCTCAAGGGACCGTCAGCCAGCTGGTCAGCTGGGGGTTCCGGACAATACTATCGACACCCTGGATTCCGATACAGTACGACGACACACTATGCTATTCTTTAAACCCATGCTTACAAGGTGCGTTTAAAATTTTTTTGTGTTTCTTACCGTAGACTACCGTACCTTAGCCTAACGCGACGTGGCGTAGTGGAGTATCGTATCGGATCGTAGCGTCGAGTACAGCAACGTAGCGCATCGTAGCCTTTCCTAGTCTACAGTATCCTGTTGCAACGTACCATAGTGTGCCGTAACGGAGCGTACAGTCACGTAGCCTACAGTACCGTAGCATAAGTACCATAGAGTACAGTAACTTAGCGCATCGTAGCCTACAGTAGCCTACTATCGCATTCCGTCGATTTCCGTCGCGGAGCGTAACGTAGCGTAGCTTATCCACCCTTACTAGGGAATGGTCTCCACTCGACATCGAATTTCTTGTTGCAAGTTAGCTCATTTTGTAGATCTCGACGAGACGAATCGTTTGATGTAACTTTTAGCTGCGGATACCTTATTTTAACAAAGTTACAGCCCATTAAAGTTTTTGACCTACCTTCATAAGCCCTCCCCGCATCCCCTCCACCGTAGCCTGGTGGCCTAGTGGCGTAGTAGGCCGCCTCTGGGGAATCTAACGAGGGTTCGAATCCGCTCACGATTTTCATTTTTTGCTTTTTGGTCCTAACGTTCCTTTTTGGGTTTTCAGGAGCTAGACAAACTCTTTTTAGATTATTTAACCACCTTTAAGTTTTTGGTACGAAAAACGGTCGGAAAAAACTTTACAAGTTTTTTGTTCGAAGGAGTGGGTTGTTTGTATATTTTATACCTCCAAAAAAAATTTAATAAAATTTGAAATGTTGTATATTTTATTCCCTAGTAAATACTAACGCCCCTGGCGAATACAAAGGCATTTGAATGTTACCAATAACGAATTTGCCAAGGTATGAGCATGATGGGGTTGTGCCTTCAGCCCAAAATTTTCCGAAGCTCGTTTTATCGTTCTAAGACTTTCATAACGGTTAAATAATCTAAAAAGAGTTTGTCTAACTCTTGAAAATCCAAAGGGAACGTTAGGACCAAGAAGCAAAAAAATAAAAATCGTGAGCGGATTCGAACCCTCGTTAGATTCCCCAGAGGCGGCCTACTACGCCACTAGGCCACCAGGCTACGGTGGAGGGGATGCGGGGAGGGCTTATGAAGGTAGGTCAAAAACTTTAATGGGCTGTAACTTTGTTAAAATAAGGTATCCGCAGCTAAAAGTTACATCAAACGATTCGTCTCGTCGAGATCTACAAAATGAGCTAACTTGCAACAAGAAATTCGATGTCGAGTGGTGACCATTCCCTAGTTAGCGTACCGCAACGTACAGAGTACTGTATGTGACGTTTCCTAGCGTATGGCATGGCATCGTATGGCATCGTACTGTGCCGTAAGGTATTGTACACGAGCGTAGCGTCCAGCATCGTAGTCAAAATTACACTCGATCAAAATTGCCCCCATTTTTAGGATATGACTACAAAAACCTGAGGCATACGACGGATCATGTAATTTGTAGCGTACTGTGGCTGGAGCCCCGAAACTCGGCAAATTCGGGATTGTATCCCCGAGCTACGGTAAGAAATCTGCTCAGTTTTACGTGGCCCTCGGCATCTGTTAAAACTGAAAAGATTTGTTACAGATCATGGCCGGCCGAGCGGAGCAAAATGGAATCGAGGAAAATCGATGGAATCTAAAGAAATCTCTATTAAATGCGTCGATACATTGAATAAATAATAATTAGGCATGAATTAAGTATACGGATTCGCAGTTAGAAAACTACAAGCAACAAACTACAATCGACAAAGTGGAGCTTACAAGGGAACCTCACGGAGACATGGTGGAATTTCGGAAAACGCTCGCGGCTACCCCCGGGTAATCGGCCATTGCGATCACGATGCGCTTGTCAGATTTTTCTAAATAGACCTGTGGACAGAGATACAGCACTTCCGGAAAATGCTGATTTACATGCAAAAAATTTGCATAGAAGGATGGTTTATGAGGCTCTCCCATCACTATGGAATCACCAGTTGAATGGCCGAGTGGTAAGCGACTCACTTGGTAGGATGCTGACGAGGGTTCGAATCCGCTTACGATTTTTTGTTTTTTGCTTTTTGGCCAGAGATTTTTGTACAAGTCCAAAATCATACGTGCTAAAGTACTTATAAATTTTATGACAGTTGTCGACGTTATGTGGTCAGAAAATTATTCTTGTGAAATTTTTTTCATTTTTTTGCAGATGGTCAGGTGTAGGAACTCTAGCCGGCAAAACTGATTTTTATTTTTCGATTTTTTTTTTTGCCTTTAATGGCTAAACATTAGGGATTTCGGGCTATTACTAGTAACATTCTGGACTTACAAAAATCTCTGGCAAAAAGCAAAAACAAAAAATCATGAGCGGATTCGAACCCTCGTCAGCATCCTACCAAGTGAGTCGCTTACCACTCGGCCATTCAACTGGTGATTCCATAGTGATGGGAGAGCCTCATAAACCATCCTTCTATGCAAATTTTTTGCATGTAAATCAGCATTTTCCGGAAGTGCTGTATCTCTGTCCACAGGTCTATTTAGAAAAATCTGACAAGCGCATCGTGATCGCAATGGCCGATTACCCGGGGGTAGCCGCGAGCGTTTTCCGAAATTCCACCATGTCTCCGTGAGGTTCCCTTGTTAGAAAAAAGGTCTGCTAGCAGGGATTTTTCGGGAAGAATTCGGGGCTCCTGGCAACCGAGCAGAGAGCGTTTGAGAAAGCTTAGAAAATTCAGGGCCAGGGTAGTCTAGCAGAGGTTTTTGAGGGATTTAGCGCTTAGTAGGGCTACGTAGCTCTGGCATGTTAACAGGGGCCCTTGGCGGAAATTCAAGTATCCGATCAAACGTCGGGCAAGCTTGCGGTGATTTTTGAGGAAATTTCAGCCTATAGGGGTGCCTAGCAGAGACTGTTGAGGAAGAGGAGAGGGCAGGCTAGCAGAGATTGTTGAGGAAGAGGAGAGGGCAGGCTAGCAGAGATTGTTGAGGAAGAGGATAGGGCAGGCTAGCAGAGGTCTTTCAAAATTTTTATGCTAAAATGATTTTTTCCTTCCCCTAGATCAACCAGCCGGCTTCCGGGAATCTCGTCCGGCTAGTGTGTTTGCTATTTCCAAGAATTTTTTTGGTGCCCCGAGGAGTGGTGGGGCGGAATGTTTACCCCCAGGGCGGGCAGCAGGGTGTCGAGTGGAGCCTCGCCGCTGACCATTACCGTAATCAGCGCGCATTTTAGCATGCTAGAGGTTTCACGGGGCATGGAAAGTGGGCGAATAGTCTCTGCTAGCCAGCCCTTACGCCATTTTCTTTCCTCACCTTCCTATTGAACAATCAACTCAACCCCAATGAATCACCAAAACCCAGCCGATCAAAAATGATCGAGAGAGGGAGCGGGCAGGCTAGCAGAGAGTCTTTGAGGCCAGGAGAGCCGGGGCGCAAAGAAACGAGGTGTGGGGGTGGATGAGATGGGATTTGTTGACTCAATCCCCCCTCCCCGTCCCGGTTCTTACAGTCACCTGACAATCGAGCAGAAGTGGGCAGATTCGATCGAGCGGAACACTCCTCCTGCCGTCCAGGCTGAAATGGATTTTTTCGGGTTTATCCCGACCCGGGAAGTCGATATTTGACCCAGAATTCCTCGGAAATATAGAATCGCGGTCTTCAACAGTCTCTTCTAGCCTCTTCCTCAACAATCTCTGCTAGCCTGCCCTCTCCTCTTCCTCAACGATCTCTGCTAGCCTGCCCTCTCCGCTTCCTCAACAATCTCTGCTAGCCTGCCCTCTCCTCTTCCTCAACGATCTCTGCTAGCCTGCCCTCTCCGCTTCCTCAACAATCTCTGCTAGACTGCCCTCTCCTCTTCCTCAACAATCTCTGCTAGACTGCCCTTTCCTCTTCCTCAACAATCTCTGCTAGCCTGCCCTCTCCTCTTCCTCAACAATCTCTGCTAGCCTGCCCTATCCCCTTCCTCAACAATCTCTGCTAGCCTGCCCTCTCCTCTTCCTCAACAATCACTGCTAGTCCCCCCCTGTTTTCCTGGGCCCGGCTTACAGATCCGCCCAGAGACCGGGAGGATGCCACTGTGTGCCCCCTCTCAACTGGGCCCTCGAATACAGGGCCCAGGCCGAAGAAGACGAAATCCCCCGGCAAATATCTCTCTCGTGCTCTCTCTCTCTCTGGCTCTCTCGCTCTCTGTCTCTCTCTCGCCGTGCAAATCCATGGGGGGAAAGCTCACAAGACAAATTTCTCCAGAGCCCGGGCTCTTCTGGGCTTCGGCAAATTTGCCGCGCACCCCCGCGCCGCGCCCGGGTGCCCCTGATTCTTTCTAGAGATTTTTTGGTGCTTTGAAGTTGTCCGGAATTTATCGTATTAGGCTTGTACCGGTTTTTGGCTTATTTTCACTTGGTCAAAACATCGTTTCTTCGAAATCTCGATTTGTCGGAAGGTCATTCCGTCAAAAGTTCGATTATCTCCATTTCCATTTGTCGAAAATAATGTTGTCGAAAACCATTTTGTCGAGGTGTGGATCAACGTTTCTAAAATAATTTTCTCGAATTCACTTCGTCAAAAATCGTTTTGTCGAAAATTCAATGCTTTTTTGCCGCGAATTTCCTTTCAAAGATGTCGCAAACTGACGCTACAGCGAATTGCAATTTCGGCAAAATGTTTGAACATAGTTTTCCATCGTTTCTTTTTTGATTCTTTGGCATTATCGGACGACATTGTGATTTTTTTAGTCTAGAAATACCTAGTAACCAGTTTTTATTAATTTTCCCAAATGGTCTGCGCTAGTTTGCCGAATTTTGCTTTTACGCATAATCTCTACTAGCTTGCCCTGGGGTTTCTATTTCCCTAAAGAATCTCGTCTTGCTTGCTCTTGCTTGCTCTGCTTTCCTCAAAAGTCTGTGCTAGTTTACCCACTGAATACGTGCTAGTTTACCTCAACAAACTCTGCTAGCCTGCCCTCCCCTCTTCCTCAACAATCTCTGCTAGCCTGCCCTCTCCTCTTCCTCAACAATCTCTGCTAGCCTGCCCTCTCCTCTTCCTCAACAATCTCTGCTAGCCTGCCCTCTCCTCTTCCTCAACAATCTCTGCTAGCCTGCCCTAATTACAAATTAGCCACCTCTCGCAATTCGAAGATTTTCGCCGCAAAAATGTTTTCTTTTTTGTCTGCCCCTGCCACAACAACAAATAGATGGGTTTTGGGGTGGTGGGAATGGAGAGGTTGGCCTCGGCTAAAAGGATTTCTGTCTGCCAAAAATAAATAAATCCTCCACCGGCTTCGATGGGATCGAGTCTGGGATTATTGATTTTTCTAGATTCTTAGGCTTAGGCTTAGGATTCTTCTCTCTCTCTCCCTCTATCTCTCTCGCTTTCGCTCTCTCTCTCTCGCTCTCTCTCTCTCTCTCTCTTTCTCTCCTGTTCCAGTCCAGATTGTATACGACAATTTCCACCACAAAATTCAGGGTTACCCCCGAGGCCACGCCACCGCGATCCCCCCCGACTGCGCACAACCTGTAGAAGTTATTGTTGAGAAAACGAGTGTTTTGGTAGGTTTCCTTTATACAGCCATCTACAAACCCGTTCAGTAGTTGCGGCCGCCAAGATGAGCGACGGACTGTTGGAGCAGGACCCCGGGTGGCAGTACCTGCGCCAGAGTGCCGAACAGGTATGGCTTGACCTCATTTACAGCACCCTATCTTTACGTTCCGCCCAAAACGTAACTGTCTCGTCGTAGCGTATCGTACTGTACCGTAACACACCGTACCAATTTTGAGACGAGTTTTTAATACTGGGTGTCCCAAAAAATACGGTAAGAGTTTACTTGATTCTCCCCCCCCCCATCCGAAGCGCCTCAAATTTTTCGGTATTTTCGCTATTTTTGTCGGGATTTTTGCCATGCCATTCGATAGAGCGTGGAAAAATTTACGATGAGTTTGAATACACTAACGTAAAATAAAAAAGTTATAGCCAACCTTCCGGCTGAGGTAGTAAGGCAAACCGTAGCCATGAAAAACACCCCCTCTAACTCGACGAAGTATCTGATCGAAATGGTAGTTACACCATTCGAAAGCTCTTGAAACGGCGGGTTTGCTATATTTTTCAAAACTATGTTTGATTTAAACCTGCTATTTTACAAGCCATTTTGTAAAAGCGTGCCTTTTTCATGAAAAATGCCGAAAATCGAGTAAAAAATCCATCATTTAAAAAATCGCAGCGACGTGCTGGACCCGCCTTATTTAGGGCTTTCGATAGATACCTCAATCGTAAAAATCGGACATGGGACGCCTTGTCTTCGTCAAAAACGCGCTTATCGCGTTAGTGTCTCGTACTGTACCGTGGTAATCGTATTTTTTTTAGTGACGCGTTTTTAATGGTCTAAATCAACCTTTTTTCCAGGCGTTGGCCGCGTCGACGAAGAAATTCGACTCGAAGAAGAATGTGTGGATCGCCGACGCCGAGGAGGGGTCCGCCATTGTTTTAATTTTGAATACAAAATATGACAATTCTTGTACCCTGTAGCCCAATTTTGTTGCAGGTTCATCACCGCCGAGATCAAGGCGACGAAGGGCGACATCCTCACCGTCGTCACGGCCAACGGGGCCGAGGTCGGAATTTTGGGTTATTTGATGACAATGGGCAAGCCTAAGCTAATCCTAAGCGGAGCCTAAGCCCAAGCTGAGACTCAGCCTAAGCTAAGCTAAGCCTAAGCTAAGCCTGAGTTAAGCCTAAGCTAAGCCTAAGCTAAGCCTAAGCGAAGCCTAAGCTAAGCCTAAGCTAAGCCTAAGCCTAAGTATCAATCAATTTCAGAAGACGCTGAAGAAGGACGATATTCAGCAGATGAACCCGCCGAAATACGAGAAGACCGGTGAGTTTTCGTGCAGAGAGAGAGACAGAGAGACAGAGAGAGAGAGAGAGAGAGAGAGAGAGGAGAGACTTTCCATTTTCCAGAGGACATGGCCAACTTGACGTTCCTCAACGACGCGTCGGTACTCAACAACCTGCGTCAGCGCTATTATGCCATGATGATCTATGTAAACGCATTAAAATTAATCTTGAATTAGCAATTTTCAAGACCTACTCCGGCCTCTTCTGCGTCGTCATCAACCCGTACAAGCGGCTGCCCATCTATTCGGAGTCGGTGTGCAAGATGTACATTGGGAAGCGGAGGAACGAGATGCCACCTCATCTCTTTGCCGTGTCCGACGAGGCCTATCGCAATATGACAAACGGTAGGGCAGGCTAGCAGGGATTTTTGAGGAAGAGGTGAGGGCAGGCTAGCAGAGATTGTTGAGGAAGAGGAGAGGGCAGGCTAGCAGAGATTGTTGAGGAAGAGGAGAGGGCAGGCTAGCAGAGATTGTTCAGGAAGAGGAGAGGACAGGCTAGCAGAGATTGTTCAGGAAGAGGAGAGGGCAGGCTAGCAAGGATTTTCGAGGAAAAAAACCGCTCCAGATCGCGAAAACCAGTCGATGCTGATCACCGGAGAATCGGGCGCCGGAAAAACCGAGAACACCAAGAAGGTCATCTCCTATTTTGCGTACGTCGGCGCCAGCCAGAGGTCAGATGGATTCCCCAACAATCCCTGCTAGCTTGCTTTCCCGCTATTTACCCCAATTCCAGCTCCGCCCCGAAAAACAAGGACAAGAAGAACGCGTCGCTGGAGGACCAGATCGTGCAGACGAACCCGGTGTTGGAGGCGTTCGGTTGGTGCTTTTAACGGGATGTTGAAGGCAAAGGCCCAGGATTAGGCTTAGGCTTAGGTTTAGGCTTAGGCTTAGGCTTAGGCTTAGGTTTATGCTTAGGCTTAGGCTTAGGCTTAGGCTTAGGCTTAGGTTTATGCTTAGGCTTAGGCTTAGGCTTAGGTTTATGCTTAGGCTTAGGCTTAGGCTTAGGCTTAGGCTTAGGTTTATGCTTAGGCTTAGGCTTAGGCTTAGGATTAGGCTTAGGTTTAGGCTTAGGCTTAGGCCTAGGCTTAGGCTTAGGCTTCACCCAGGCTTAGGCTAAAGTTTGGTCGTCAGAATAGCTTAATCGTTCTTTTAGGAAACGCCAAAACGGTGCGCAACAACAACTCATCCCGCTTCGGCAAGTTCATCCGCATCCACTTCAACACGGCCGGCAAGCTGGCCGGCGCCGACATTGAGCACTGTCAGTTTTTGGAGTCTTCAAGGCCCATGCAGGCTAGCAAAGATCATTTGGCAATTTTTCTGATCGAAAATTTTGTTTTAGACTTGCTGGAAAAGTCGCGTGTCATCAAGCAAGCACCAGGAGAGCGCTGTTACCATATCTTCTACCAGCTGTACTCCGATGGGGTGGCCGGGACCAGGGGTAATTAAAAGACGTCTGGAATAGCATAAATCGTCGGTTCTGCTCAGATAAGCTTCTTCTGAAGAGGCCGCTGAAAGACTACCACTTTGTCGCCCAGGCCGAGCTGACCATCGAGGGGGTCGACGACAAGGAGGAGATGATGCTCACGGATGTGAGTTTCTGGCTCTCTCTCACTCTCTCTCTCTCGCTCTCTCTTTGGCTCTCTCACTCGCCCTCCTCTTCCTCAACAATCTCTGCTAGCCTGCCCTCTCCTTTTCCTCAACAATCTCTGCTAGCCTGCCCTCTCCTCTTCCTCAACAATCTCTGCTAGCCTGCCCTCTCCTCTTCCTCAACAATCTCTGCTAGCCTGCCCTCTCCTCTCCCCAAACAATCTCTGCTAGCTTGACATTTCTCCTCTTTCCAGGAAGCCTTTGACATTATGAAGTTCACCCAAACCGAGAAGGACCAACTTTTTGCCGTGACTGCAGGCCTGATGCACATGGGGGAGATGAAATTCAAGCAGCGCCCCCGCGAGGAGCAGGCCGAGGTTGAAGACTGCAGTGGTGAGCTCAAAATTTGGTTCTTTTGCATTATCGGGGGGGGGAGGCAGGGGGTGGGCTGTAGAAGTCGAAGGCTGTTAATTCGAAAGGCCATTCAAAAATTCCGTGTTTTAGAGGGTGAGCTCGCCTGCAAGCTGTACGACTGCGACTTTGAAAAGTTTGTGCAGGCGCTGCTCAAGCCGCGCGTCAAGGTGGGGGCTATTTTTCAGTGCTAAAAAGCTCTTAAATCGACATGCTTTTGAAGAAATTAAAAATTGATTCTTCAATTTTCAACCTCAATTTCCGTTGCTTCAGGTCGGCACCGAATGGGTGAACAAGGGGCAGAACTTGGAGCAGGTCAACTGGGCCATTGGGGCCCTGGCCAAGGCGCTGTACGCTCGCATGTTCGCCTGGCTTATTACGCGGTACGTTTTGCTTGGCTGAGGGGGTTCCTGTAACTCTCAAAATTTGAAAAAATGCATAATTGTCATTTTTAACGTTTTTTCAGGTGCAACAAAACCTTGGATGCCCACGAGCTGGCCCGCGACCATTTCATCGGAGTGCTCGACATCGCTGGATTTGAGATTTTTGATGTGAGTGGCTAGCAGAGATTGTTGAGTAAGAGGAAAGAGCAGGCTAGCAGAGATTGTTGAGGAAGAGGAGAGCGCAGGCTAGCAGAGATTGTTGAGGAAGAGGATAGGGCAGGCTAGCAGAGATTGTTGAGAAAGAGGAGAGGACAGCATAGCATGGATTTTTGAGCAAGGGCAATTTCACGTTTCAGCTCAACTCCTTCGAGCAGCTGTGGATCAACTTTGTGAACGAGAAACTCCAGCAGTTCTTCAACCACCACATGTTCGTCCTCGAACAGGAGGAGTACCAGCGGTGCGTCGCCCTCTCTCTCTCTATCTCTCCCTATCTCTCTCGCTCTCTCTCTCTCCCTCTCTCTCACTCGCCTTTAAATGCGACATTCCAGCGAGGGCATCAAGTGGGAATTCATCGACTTTGGGCTTGACCTCCAGGCTTGCATCGAGCTGATCGAAAAGGTCAGTTTTCAGAAATTTTTTAGACCATTTTTTATAGCCTCTCGGCATCATTTCGATGCTTGACGAGGAGTGCATCGTCCCGAAGGCCACCGACATGACCTTGGCGCAGAAGCTGAACGACCAGCATCTCGGCAAACACCCCAACTTCCAGAAGCCAAAGCCGCCGAAGGGAAAACAGGTGCAAGAGAAAGAGAGAGAGAGAGAGATCGAGAGAGAGAGAGAGGGAGAGAGAGCGAGAGAGAGAGAGCAAATTCTAATCTTTCTTTGTAGTCTGAAGCCCACCTGGCCATCGTCCACTACGCGGGCACCGTGCGCTACAACGTCAAGGCGTGGCTGGAGAAGAACAAGGTGAGAGAGCGAGCGAGGGAGAGAAAGAGAGAGAGAGAGAGAGAGAGAGAGAGAACCTGTCCGTTGCAGGACCCGCTGAACGACACCGCCGTCACCGTCCTCAAGGCCAACAAGGGCAACGAGCTGATGAGGGAACTCTGGGCCAACTACGACACCCAGGAGGACATCGCCAACGCGGCGAAGGACGGCAAGAAGGCCGCGCCTGGGAAGAAGAAGGCTAGTTTTTCTTCAACAATCCCTGCTAGTCTTCCCTCTCCTCTTCCTAAAGAATCTCTGCTACGCCGTTTTTCAGGGCAAATCGGCCTCATTCCAAACGGTCTCGATGATGTACAGGGAGTCGCTGAACAAGCTGATGAACATGCTGCACCAGACGCACCCCCACTTCATCCGCTGCATCATCCCCAACGAGCAGAAGAAGGCTGGTAAGGGGATTCGGCGAGTTCACTTTCTCTCTCTCTCACTCTCTCCCCCTCTCTCTCTTTCTCTCGCTGCTTCTCGCGCTCCACGTCATTTTCAGGCGTCATCGACGCGAATCTGGTGCTCAACCAGCTGACGTGCAACGGTGTGCTCGAAGGTATCCGTATCTGCCGCAAGGGATTCCCCAACCGTATGCCATACCCCGATTTCAAGCAGAGGTAATTGGCAATTTGTTTAGGATCTTTCAAAAACCGTACTCACTATTTCCGATTTCACAAATAACGATAACAGTTTGCCCTGGTTACGGTACACTAATTGCGTAGACAAAGGCTTTGGCTTAGGCTTCGTTTAGGCTTCGCTTAGGCTTCGCTTAGGATTCGCTTAGGCTTCGCTTAGGCTGAGGCATTCGCTAGGCTTAGGCTTGAGCTTAGGCTTAGCCTTAGCCTTAGGCTTGTACTCCGGCTTAAGCTTAGGCTTAGGCCTCGGCTTAACTTTCAGCTATTAGATTTATTCTGTGGAGGTACGACCAGGTGTGAGAGACAGAGAGAGCGAGAGAGAGAGCGAGAGCGAGCCAGAGAAAGAGAGAGCGCGCGAGAGAGAGCCACACTCTTTAGAGACCCTCATAACCCACCGTGTGTCCGTCGCATGTTGTAGATATGGCCCGTTGGCCCCGCTAGAAGCTTCCGACATGGACGCGCGGCGCGCCGGCGAGCGGTTGATGGCCCGAGTGGCGGCCGAAGGAGGCCGGATCCGACTGGATGACTACCGGATCGGGCAGACAAAGGTTCTAAATTTCCTCAAATTGTCTGTGCTAGCCTCCGCCGGGCGGGGGCTGCCATGGGGGCGCAATTCCGCAAATTGACTCCGCTAAGCCCCCTTTAAAGGCGAAGTATCGCCGACGACTAACCTCTGCATGCATTTTATCTATCCCCGAATGAATCGCATGGTTTAACTAACGATTATACACAAAAAACTATGGTAAAATGAATAAAATAAGTTTACCGTTTCCTCCTCAGTTCGCGTGCCTTGCAGATACGCCATCCTTGCCGCTGACGCGGCCAAGAATGCGCTTGATGACGTCGCTGCTGGGAAGGGCATCAGCGAGGAGCTGCTCAAGAAGGGGTCCCTCAAGCCGGAGGAGTTCCAGCTTGGCCAGACAAAGGTTTGTCGCTCACTTTCTCTCTCTCTCTCTCTCTCTCTCTCTCTCGCTGTTTCTCTGTCTCTCTCGCTCCCTCCCTTTGTCTCTCTCCCTCTCTCTCTTTCTCGAGGAAGCGAAGCCAAGCTGCTTCGGAAGCGTAAGCTTATGTCTAGACCCTGCCAGGTCACCCTGGCCTATCCCTAGGCTTAGGCTTAGGCTTGGACTTGGCTCAGGCTTAAGCTTTGATACAGCTTAGGCTTAGGCTTAGGCTTTGATACAGCTTAGGCTTAGGCTTAGGCTTAGGCATAGGCTTACGCTTTTGGCTTAGGCTAGAATCAGGCTCAGGTTTAGGCTCAAGCTTAGGCTTAGGCTTCGCCTTGGGCCTACGCGTCGTCAAAGCCATTCTAACTTCCGGTTTTTCCATCCAAAGCTTGCGCGTGAAAATCCCCCAAATTATGTTGCATAAAACGGATACCCCATTTGTTGGCTGCTTTTTGAGATCTTAGTCAAAAATTGTGGCCTTTAATGGAGCCCCATGATGTCGAATTTCTCGCGCTACAAGACACGGTGGCCTGCACGTACCGGTATTATCACGGAAACACGGCCAAAATTAAAAAAAACTGGTTCTATCAGAGGCTTCCTTGTACGGCTAGAAGTCGGGGGCGTAAAGCTTAGAGTAATGCGTGGGATATACCCCTCTAATTTGTCTTTTTAGGTGTTCTTCAAAGCGGGAGTGCTGGCCCACCTGGAAGAGCTGCGCGACGAGGCGCTGAGCGTAATCATGACCAAGTTCCAGTGCGCCTGCCGGCACTATTTGGCCCAATGCGAGTACAAGCGGAAGCTCGATCAAAAGTTGGTGGCTTCGAAGGCCTGGGCTTAAGCTTAAGCTTAGGCTCAGGACTACGCTTAAGCTTGATACAACCATTTTTCAGGGTCGGCCTCATCGTCGTGCAGCGCAATGTACGCGCCTGGTGCACGCTGCGCAGTTGGAAGTGGTTCTCGCTGTTCTCCCGCGTCAAGCCGCTGATCAAGGGCAACAAGAAGGACGAGGAGTTCGAAGCGCTCGAGAAGAGGTAGGACTAGCAGAGACTGTTGAGGAAAAAAAGAGGGCAGGCTAGCAGAGATTGTTGAGGAAGAGGAGAGGGCAGGCTAGCAGAGATTGTTGAGGAAGAGGAGAGGGCAGGCTAGCAGAGATTGTTGAGGAAGAGGAGAGGGCAGGCTAGCAGAGATTGTTGAGGAAAAGGAGAGGGCAGGCTAGCAGAGATTGTTGAGGAAGAGGAGAGGGCAGGCTAGCAGAGATTGTTGAGGAAAAGGAGAGGGCAGGCTAGCAGAGATTGTTGAGGAAGAGGGGAGGGCAGGCTAGCAGAGATTGTTGAGGAAGAGGAGAGGGCAGGCTAGCAGAGATTGTTGAGGAAGAGGAGAGGGCAGGCTAGCAGAGATTGTTGAGGAAGAGGAGAGGGCAGGCTAGCAGAGATTGTTGAGGAAGAGGAGAGGGCAGGCTAGCAGAGATTGTTGAGGAAGAGGAGAGGGCAGGCTAGCAGAGATTGTTGAGGGAAGAGGGGAGGGCAGGCTAGCAGAGATTGTTGAGGAAGAGGAGAGGGGCAGGCTAGCAGAGATTGTTGAGGAAGAGGAGAGGGCAGGCTAGCAGAGATTGTTGAGGAAGAGGAGAGGGGCAGGCTAGCAGAGATTGTTGAGGAAGAGGAGAGGGGCAGGCTAGCAGAGATTGTTGAGGAAGAGGAGAGGGCAGGCTAGCAGAGATTGTTGAGGAAAAGGAGAGGGCAGGCTAGCAGAGATTGTTGAGGAAGAGGGGAGGGCAGGCTAGCAGAGATTGTTGAGGAAGAGGAGAGGGCAGGCTAGCAGAGATTGTTGAGGAAGAGGAGAGGGGCAGGCTAGCAGAGATTTTTGCGGAAGAGGGAGGGCAGGCTAGCAGAGATTGTTGAGGAAGAGGAGAGGGCAGGCTAGCAGAGATTGTTGAGGAAGAGGAGAGGGCAGGCTAGCAGAGATTGTTGAGGAAGAGGAGAGGGCAGGCTAGCAGAGATTTTTGCGGAAGAGGGGAGGGCAGGCTAGCAGAGGTTTTTGCAGCTATTTCAAATTTTTCCAGATGCAAGGAGCTGGAGGAAAGCTACGCCAAGGAGGAGCGCTCGCGCAAAGACCTTGAAGCCGACCTGGCGCGTATGCAAAGCGAGAAACAGGCCCTGGCCATGCAGCTCGAGCAGGAGCGCGACACCTCGGCTGAAGGGGAGGAGCGATCGGCAAAGTTGCTGGCCCTCAAGGCAGATTTGGAGAAGAAGGTGGGCTTTCTCTCTCTCTCTCTCCCTCTCTCTCTCTCTTTCTCTCTCACCACCTCCAACTTTCAGAACGCCGACCTGAACGACCAGCTAGCCGACCAGGAGGACAAATACAATGCGTTGCAAAAGACGAAGAAGAAGGTGGGCATGGGCCTCGGCTTAGACTTAGACATGGCTTAGACTTAAATCTAGGCTTGGATTAGGCTTCGCTTAGGCTTAGGTTTAGGCTTAGGCTTAGGCTTCGGCTTGAGCCTAGGCTTCGCTTAGGCCTAGACGTGGGTTTGGGCTTAGGCTACCTAATATTACAAATTTCCAGGTCGAAGGCGACAATGACAACCTGAAAAAGAACGTCCAGGACCTGGAGACGACCATCAAAAAGCAGGTGGGAGAAGCCGAGAATTTTTTGGCATTTATGGCCACGCCAAGCTACTGTCGGATACTTTGTACGCCTACTAAAAGCTTCTACCTGATTTTAGGAAACGGAGAAGCAAGCCAAAGACCACCAGATACGCTCCCTTCAAGACGACATTGCCAGCCAGGACGAGGTCATTGCCAAGATCACGAAGGAGCGGAAGCATCAGGAGGAGGTAGGCAAGCTCCTGATCCTTCCCACTTTGAACCCTTAGGTGAACCGGAAACTGCTGGAGGACATCCAGGCCGAGGAGGACAAGGTCAACCACCTCAACAAGACCAAGAGCAAGCTGGAGAGCGCACTCGATGAGCTGGAGGACAATTTGGAGCGGTACGGTTTAGGGATAGCTTCGGTTGGGCTTAGGCTTAAGCTTAGGCTTAGGCATGGCTTAGGCTTAGGCTTAAGTTTCGGCTTAGGGACTAGACTTTGCTTAGGTTTGGCTTCGGCTTCGTCCTAGGGCTAGGCTTAGGCTTACAAGGGAAGTGCACGACCGGCCCACGAGAAATCGACACGAGACATAGTGGATCTGATAGAATCGGACACGGGGATTCCGAATCTGTAATCAGAATTTGCTAAATAAAACGGAGTAAAAAGTTATGAAGCTTCAAAGTTGGCCAAATCGCCAAAAACGGTACCTTTAAGGGCCCGTAAAAACCGGGGGAACGGAATTGAGGAGAAAAGAATTAGTGCAGCTTGTTCAGCAGAAAAAGCGCTTTCGAATGAGCTGTAATACGTAGCATTTGCAAAAAATTCACTGAAAAAAGTTTTTTGGATTCACGGGCATGGATATGGCCTGTCAAATTCATAGAAGAGATTTTCGCGAAATCATTGTAAACTTGAAGTAAGGTAGCTCATTCGAAAGCGCTTTTTTTGCTGAACAACATGCACTAATGGGTTGTGGAAAATTTCCATTCCCTGGGCCTTTACAGGCCCATAAAAGTCCGATTTTGGGCGATTTTACCAACTTTGAAGCTTCATAACTTTTTTCTCCGTTTTATTTAGCAAATTCTGATTAGAGATTCGGAATCCCCGTGTCCGATTCTATCAGATCCACTATGTCTCGTGTCGATTTCTCGTGGGCCGGTCGTGCACTTCCCTTGTTAGGCTTAGGCTTAGGCTTAGGTTAGGCTTAGGCATGGCTTAGGCTTAGGCTTAAGTTTCGGCTTAGGGACTAGACTTTGCTTAGGTTTGGCTTCGGCTTCGTCCTAGGGCTAGGCTTAGGCTTAGGCTTCGGCTTAGGCTTCGGCTTTGGTTTGGGGCAACGCTTAGGCTTAGGCTTCAGCTTAGGCTTAAGCTTAGGCTTAGGCTTAGGCTTCAGCTTAGACTTAGGCTTAGGCTTAACTTCGCCATCTGAGCGAATTTTTTGGAACGACTACTATTTTATTAATTTTTTTAGTGAGCGCCGCCACCGCCAGGACATCGAGAAGCAGCGCCGAAAGCTGGAGGGCGAATTCAAGGTATGAAGAGAAGTGGGCAGGCTAGCAGAGGCAATTTTGGAGTGCGGAAAACCCAAAATGTCCTTCTAGATGGCCCAAGAGACGATCGAGGAGCTGACCCGCCTTCGTCATGAGCAGGAGGCCGCCATGAAGAAGAAGGACGTCGAGATTCACAACATTACGAACCGACTGGAGGACGAGCAGAGCTTGGTGAGGATCACGCTCTCTCTCTCTCTCTCTCTCGCCAACCCCTCTTTTTTCAGGTTAACAAGCTCCAGAAGCAGATCAAGGAGCTGCTCGCCCGAATCCAGGAGCTCGAGGAGGAGCTGGAAGCCGAACGCAACGCCCGCGCCAAGGCCGAGCGCGCCCGCGCCGATATGCAACAAGAGCTCGAGGAGCTGGGCGACCGTCTCGACGAGGCTGGAGGAAACACCCAGGCCCAGATGGAGCTCAACAAGAAGAGGGAGGCCGAGCTGCAGGTACGGGTAGATCGAATCCCTGATCGAATTTTCTAGAAATTGAGGCACGACGTCGAAGAGGCGAGCCTCGTGCAGGAGCAGGCAATGGCCGGGCTCAGGAAGAAGCACCAGGACGCTGTAGCTGAACTCACCGAACAGCTCGAGACGCTGCAAAAGAGCAGGGCCAAGCTCGAGAAGGACAAGGCACAGATTCATAGGTGGGTGGCTAGCAGAGATTGTTGAGGAAGAGGAGAGGGGCAGGCTAGCAGAGATTGTTGAGGAAGAGGAGAGGGCAGGCTAGCAGAGATTGTTGAGGAAGAGGAGAGGGCGGGCTAGCGAGAGATTGTTGTGGATTCGTCAACATTTTCAAATTTAGGGAAGCCGAAGAGCTACAGAACCAAGTCGACGTCGAGGGCAAACACCGCCAGAACGCCGAGCGGCTCGCCAAGCAGCTGGAGGCGCAGCTAACCGAGCTGCAGCTCCGCAGCGATGAGCAACAGGTCAGGCTTCGCCCCATCTTCGAAAATCGGACCCATTGCAGCGCACCGGCCAAAGAGCTGCAGTCGCAAAAGTCGAGACTCCACACCGAGAACACCGATTTGAACCGGTAAGTCCTCAAGGATCCCTGCTAGCCTACCCTCGTTTTTTGCAGACAACTCGAAGATGCCGAGTCGCAGCTCTCCCAGCTCAACCGCATCAAGTCGCAGTTGAACAGCCAGCTGGAGGAGCTAAAGCGCCAGCTTGAGCAGGAGGCCCGTGAGCGCCAACAAGCGCATATTCAGGTGGAAATCGGTTAAATTTTTTACTTGATGCAAATTAGGCGTCGAACTACCAGCTGGAGTGCCAGCAACTACGCGAGGCGCTCGAGGAGGAGCAAGACGGGAAGACCGAGCTGCAGAGACTCATTTCAAAGGTTGGGTTTCGGGTCTTAGGCATGGGTTTACATGGGAGGCTTGGAAGCAGGCTTGGAGGCTTGGGCAGGGCTTGGGC